GCATACATACATATACAATACATTAGTGCAAGTCCGAGTATTGTATATGTATGTATGCGGTTTAATGCAACAGCCATTTGAATTGTGTTGGGAAGAAAAAGATGTAAGAGACAGAGTCCAACTTTGTTTGGTAGATAGTTAGGTATTAAGACTCAGATAATGATGATCTTTTTTTGTGCAAATGTAAGTCATTATAACTGATCATCAAACTGCACAATGAAGTAATTTCAAGGTGAGGTGACCCGATACTGTTTTGCTTGGTATGTTTTTAATTATCATCTTCTTCATTTAGGGAATTTCATAATCAAATATGTATTTTTATGCTTACAATTTAATAAATAAGTCAAATCAATCTATGTTATGATTTACTGATGCAATCATGCAACATATCATCGTGCAATATAGTCCCTTAGCTTGCAGTTATGTTCAAATGAAAAGTGTACCCTGCTTTTATTTACTCAAATTCTTCAGTTGCATACTTTATGCAACTGAAGAATCTGGCATTAATGATTTCTGATTATTAAAAAAAAACTATATATATATATATATATATATATATATATATATATTAATATATATATATATTTTTAGTTTAGTATCAGTTTCTTCATTTGTCTCAGGTATCCTTGCTATAAACATCTGCACGTTTTCATTGAGAGACAACTATTGAACTCTTTGCAGGGCTTTCAGAGTTTCAGTTTTGTGTACGGAAGTTGTCCGCAGGTCTTGAGGTCAGAGAGTAAAGGCTCTTTCTGCTGGGACTACACACACACAGCCATCTTGGATCAAACGAAGTGAAGGGAGATTAATGCGGTGAGCGCATTTTCCATACTATTTCTCACGTTTAATGGCTCGTTTTTGGATGTTGCCGTTCAGTGGGAGCTTTGTATCGGCTCGGCCTGCCCCTGTATTGAAACACAGCAGGTCATTAACTTTTGCCACCAGGAGCATCGGCTAAATATCGCTGCTACAGATGCAGCTACTTCCAATCGGAGCGCTAAGTTAGCCGAGGAAATGGACCAATGGATCTATGACTGCAGATATAATCATTTTCAGCTTGACCCAAACTTTGATCAGAGCTTTTGATTGTGTCGTTTTGTAACTGAGCGGTTGTCATGATTCTTTATTTGAAGTAGTGGCTCATTTGTGAGCTAGCATTATGCTAACTTAGCATGCTATCGCTAGCTTCTTAGCAGCAGCGGTTAGCCTAGCATTGCCCCTGTTCCTCCCCCTTCAATTTAAATTATAACCGGTGACTGAGACTCCCCGATAATAATTACAACTTTTGTGATTTTACACTCACTGAGGCTGTCATTTATTTTATTTTTTACCTTGTCATAGCTCCTCAATCAGTTTTTTTTCTTTTCTTTTGGGAAGTCAAACTTGACTTTGCACATACTTTGAAGTGTAGAAATAAGTCCATTACAACTTTATGCAATATTCCAAACCCCATATGGCTTTAAATTTCTGATCTTTTAGTATTTGATAAAGCACATGCAATAAGGAATAATTAAGTGTCACTAACTTTCTTTTTGATCAGTTTAATCTTAACCCAGGTGGTGTGAAGTGATCTTAAAAGTGATTATAGTGGTAAATAATATAAATAACCATCATCCAGCAGTGATGAAAATCAGGTGTTTCACTGGAAAAGCAAGGACAGCATGCAGATAGATGGGAGCCTATAATTATATATAGAAAAATAAAATATGAGAATTTAAAAGTAGACTGCACAGATAAAGGAAAAACATCAGATCAGACAAACACTGTGTTGTTATTAAAATAATGCAAAACACAAACAAAAAAAAGCTGAATAATTAGATGGATGTTAAAATGTCTAAGAAACGGGTATAAACTGTACTAATAGCATGCAAATTTGTGGAAGTAGAGAGATCAATGTATAAAACTTAACACTTAATGTGAAACATTCAATATTCTAGTGTAACAGCAGCTGGGACTGATTATAGCAGAGCTGCTTTTATAAATGGATGATACGTAAAGTATTTTAAAATTAGACAGTCATAGTGTTGGTTAGTGCTGAAGCAATTAAACATGATAAATCTATTATAGAAATAATCGTCAACTAATTTAGTAATCGTTTAATTGTTAACTGGACTATAGAGACTCACATGCGTTTAGCTGATATGTATATGTATATTTATGTATATGTACTGCATTTAAGATAAAAAAAACAAAAAACGTTTTGTCCATCAATATTCTCCGTCCAGAAATCCGCTAGTGGAATATCATTTTAGTTTTATCTGGTATAATTTTGTAAAAAGTTTCCTTTAAGGAAGCTTTGGCTATCCAAGTATTAATCAATTAATCAGAAAAATAATGGTAAGATATATATATATATATATATATATATATATAATTTCATAAGTTTTCTTTAAGTTGTGACCCACCGATTTAAACGTGATGTTTTTTACCGCTATAATATAAAATAAGATAAACTGTGCTATAGGTTCTTTGGTAGTAGTTTGAATCCAAAAAATAAACCAATTTCAAGACGCTGATTATGTGTCAATGCTCGTCCTTTATATGGATATGAAATAGGTTAGTTTTAATTTCTAAACCAATATAAAGAACGCCCAGACAGACACAGTGTACCTTTCACAACCTTTTGCAAAAGGGGAGAGAACTTTGTGCTGGAAGGTCTCTTAGCTCTACTCCAACTGTACGTCTCCTTGCAGGCGTTTTTATTTCATGCAATCAGGGTGCAGTTAAATTGTCACAGGGCGCTGCATTGTTACAACGCATTACATGCGATACAGTCACCTGCTCATCAGGGCTTACTTTCCACTGTCATCCAGTCAAAATTAGTCAAGCCACTTCTAGCCACGTGATCCCCCCTCTGTGCATTCAGCAGACATAAGTTACTTCTTCCCCCCCAAGGGTCAATAGAGCACATTTTATCCCCACACAACCATAATATACTTTAAGTATAAAGAATGATAAAGAATTAATAAATCCAGCAATGTTTTTTTAATTAGATTTTAAAAAAGAGCATCAAAATAAATGACTCTGATAGATTTAATAAAGAACAAAATATGTTTTAGTTCTTAGAAAATGTACGAGTTGCTCTATCTACAGTTAGAACTAAATTAAGGATAAATATTTGGATTCTTTGTTGACTTAAAATACTAGAATGTGTCCAACTAATGATTCAAAATAAACCCAGATATTAAAAGGATAATCTTGAATATTTTTTTTTTGCCTATGTGGCAAAAAAAAAAAAAAAAAAAATTGGTGGAAGACAAGGGATGGATTAACCAAGTTCAGTTAAAACACCCCATACCTGCCGTGTAATACATCAATTAAGCTTGATGTTTCAGGTCCTTCTTCCTGCAAAATAAAAGGAAAACTTTTTTCTGCTTTTTATTTAAGTTTCTTCATAATCAGTAAT